TGGACCGAATTCCATTAATCCAGTGCCTATGATAGGGGATTTTTGTGATATGCTATTAGATAAAGATCGAATATCGGCATCAGGGGGAGAAAAGCCCATGTGTTAAAGATGCCTTATATTTTCAAGAAGAAAAATATATTTATAAGTAAGAATAACGCACAAGCCAAACTAAACTAGAAGGTTTAGTTTATTCTCCTGTAAGCCAGAAGTGGGAGCTTGCCAGATAATTATGAATTAAAGGAGTAATCAGAAGTTATGTTTACTTGTAGTAAATTTTCTGCTCACAGTGGTATACCCCGGGTTTTGAATAGTATATCCACAAATGCAGAGTGACATGTTAGTCAATGTTCTAAAATCTACAGGGACGCCTGCGGATTCTAAGATCTAACGACTATTGTCAATGTACCCATTAATAACTCCTTACAACTCTAGTAGAGTAATCACCATGAAGGTGAATTGCCTCATGAATAGGTTCATCATGAAGATGAAAACCTAGAATTAAAGTGCGCACATCTATCTAATTCTAGGATGCGGAACAATCATACATCTTATGTTTGGGAAATGACTAAGATATGGTTTACAATGAATTAACCTCACGGAATGAGTATGTGGAGAAAAGAATGGTTGTCGACAACATCGCCTCTATGATTGCTAATATTTCTCTAATGAGAATCTGGATCCGGACCAAAGTCCATGGCAGAGTTGCATAGTAGCACTCATATCGGGTCTATTGAAGAAAGCAATGAGGTTGAACCATAGTCGCTAAATAAGTCTATGTGAACATAAAAGTTCAGACTTAATAGGAAATGAAGTGGTGAAAAGCAACGGTTCATATAGTCATGGAAAAGACTATATTCTCCTACTATGAATGTATAAAATTCCGCTATATATATCGCTGGCAAAAGGCATGAATGAATAAATGATATGCAGTTTATGGGTTATGAAAATCCATATGAAGTTTTCACTAGAAAGAAAACAATTTTGCAACATATATGTAAATCTCATACTAATTAGTGTCATGAAGCACACTATATTCTCATGAAGAGAATTGCAAGACTCGTAGAAGAGTTTATGATGACTCACGAAAAGTTTTTCTCCTAGAAGTGAGAATATTTCTCATAGCAGAGAAAATGACTTCCGGAAGAATAAGTTGATCCCTGTAGGACTAAGCTAATGTATAAATTACCGGTTAATCTCCATATAACACCGATAACTCGTACTCCCATAAAGTGGACATACCCGTTCAAACGAATGAATTGGAAAATCACATCCACTAGCATGCAAGTGGATCAGTAGTTTTCTACATACTATGAAGGTGTAAGAATTTATATATCATGAAGATATACTTATTGATGGTATTTGGCAATCTTATTAATTCCCCTAATGCCAAAATATAGACCGGTTTATGTCACTCTAAGTGGTTTAAGCTAATTGTCGAAGATTAGTGAAACAATCAAATTGGTAATGATTGATAAATCCACTAAGAGAAAGTTGTATAATATTTAACCTCTTGTATTGAGCTAATTATTTTATACATACCGCATATGTGTATCGTTGCAACTTATTTTCCCATAGTCCTCCGTAAGGATAAAACTTTGTTTGTATTGCACATTTGAATAAGTGGTTATACATATTGCTCCTATACATTTATTTCTTTCTCATGTTCATAGTAGAACTTATGAAATAAGTAAACGAAAGATTAAACATTGTGGTAATTTTATTATCATTGTTTTACACATTAATAAAAATGTGGTTATGACATTGGAACATGGAAGTTTCAACGGATGTCTTATTGAGGGGGAGCATATATGCTAAACGGATGTCTTATATTTGATTTACCAAGAATTAATCAAATTAATCATTGTTTTGATAATTTACCTTGAAGGTTACTACCGCTATATTGTTGTGTTAATACAAGTTGATTAATATAATAAAGCATATAGATCATTAGCTATTTATGAAGAATAGTCGATCTTAAAGATTATACGATCAAGAAGATCGTGTGTTGTACTCTTTTTCCCTTAGTGAGTTTTTACTTGAATATTTCTCATGCAAGGTTTTTAACGAGGCAACAAGTGCAATATAACTAGTGTGTACGATGTATTCTTTTCTCCTATCCTTTTTTCCCACTGGGTTTTTGGATGGAGTTTTTAATGAGACATGTGTATAGCGCGGTATTCGCCCAAAGGGGAGTGTTATGAAACTATTATCTCCTGCCAAAGATAAATATGGGCTCATACCAAATATATGGAAACGTATCCTAATAGGACTCTTCCTATTATGGGTATATATACTGAGGGAGAGGGCTTGAGATGTTAGTTGATGTATTCGCATATGGTTAAAGCAATAAAGCTGTGATGCGCCTCCCTATATTCGTGTTCATCTACTATATGATTGTGTGCATGAGATCGTCTCCTTCTATTCGGATCAGCGAATAGGCCACTAGTTATTCAACAACACGTACTCCACCAAAAACAATTTAATTCATGGGGAAGTGTCCATTTACATACAGGAGAAGAGGAGAAGTGTCTTAGCAGGTGGGGTAACGCAGAGATTAACACACTGAGACAGTGGATTATTTACTTATACATTCGGGCCAAATTAGTTGTCGTTTTGAGTTTTATATACTTACTCTGTTTCTAAAAATTTGACGCCGTTGTTTTTCCCAAATACAGTTTATCATACGTCTTATTCTTTTAAAAAAGTAACTATTAATTTTGTTCCTAACATTTAATTCATGTTTAAACATGCTTATATAAATATTTTTTTAATAAAACAATTTATAAACAGGAATGAATAACATTTCCGTATTTTTTGAAATAAGAAGAACGATCAAAGGTTATAGACAAAAAAATAAAAGCGGCAGATATTTTATGATGAAAGCAGTAGTACAATAGCAAAGGGTAGATATGGAAATAGATGAATCACCAAAAAGCAAAAGTTGGAAAGAAAAACTCAAAGCGGCAGGTATTTTATGATGGAAGTAATAGTACAAAGGGAGCACAAAGGGTAAATATAGAAACAGAGGAACCACCACAATACCTGTCTCTGTATAAAGCCGCATATGTACTGCAAGGAGGGGGGCGGGGGGGGGGGGGTGAGGGAGGGGGAGAGAAGCAGTATTCACCACCCAAGACCACAAGTAGAAGAAGAGAGGCATACAGAGTGGAAAACAACTGTGCTAACAGTAAGCAAGCGACCAAGCATCTCGGAACTGTTGGAATTAATGGATGGGCCTTAGCCCACTCGAAGATTAATTCTTTAGAAAATCACAAAAGGCCACCTCATGGGATGGCATGCATAGGAAGTTTAGTATCACCTTGCTTACTCTAGGAGAGGGGGACCTCCTTAAAAAGGAGGATGCCCTCCTAGCCACTTGAAGCATGTATGGTGGAGAAAAGAGGGGGAACACCACACGCGCGCTCGCTGGCTTGGCAGGGCGGGCGGCGCGCGTGCACGACGTACGTGTCGAATGGTCTGTAAAATTGGCTCCTCACCCTTGCGCAGATGCAGTCTCCTTTTGCAGTTTTGTTTTGCTGCAGGAAATTCGGATTTGTTTTGTTTTGGAAACATTCCGAAAAATCCGGTGCGTGAAAACGGCGTGGTGTCCGGATAAGTTACGCGTGACTTATCCGGTTCGGTTACGCGGAGTGGAGATCGTGCAGGCGCCCTGATCAAACGACCTATCTCTATATAAGCCGAGCCGCCGCCTTCACGCCGCCTGCAGGACGTACGTGTCGAATGGTCCGCAAAATTGGCTCCTCACCCTTGCGTAGATGCAACCTCCTTTTGCAGTTTTGTTTTGCTGCATGAAATTTGGATTTGTTTTGTTTTGGAAACATTCCGAAAAATCCGGTGTGTAAAAACGGCGTGGAGTCCGGATAAGTTACGCGCGACTTATCCGGTTCGGTTACACGGAGTGGAGATCGTGCGGGCGCCCTAATCAAACGACCTATCTCTGTATAAGCCGAGCCGCCGCCTTCACGCAACACACGAACAATCATTGGATTCCACACTTTCAAAGAGATTATATTCTTCGGTGAATCATTAAAGAGAGGGCTAGCATATCATTTAAATAGCTCGAAGGTTGAAGATTTGGGTAACCTATCAGATTATGATTTTGTAACTCAGTATGGGCAGTTCATGGCTGGGTCATTTCCATACACACCCTGCTGGATGTGAGGGGATAAGTCCATTTTTCTCGTAGAAAAAAAAATAATCTGAAGGTCATCCAAGCGTATGTGTTTCATCGCATATATACTGATGAAACATCAGTCAAATGGCCCAAAATTTGCTCCTTACTTTGCCTTAATTTTCAGTTTCCTTAAAATTTATGGTACTCACAACTGCTGCTAACGGAAATCTTTGATAATTATTGTTCATTCTTTCAGCTACTAGTTTGTGTTACATGAGCTCTTGCATAAAGTTTGTGCATCTCTTTCTGCTGCTATTTACCTTTCTATATATAGCACTGACATGGATAACATAGACTTACCGTAGTATACTTATTTTCTTTTTAGATGATCTTACCGTAGTATACTATTAAGGAAGCATTGCTAACTTGGAGAAAGTTGGAACAAAGGAAAACAATAATTTGGTAGATGAAAATGCGAGGTGGTCAGGTGAAAAACAGAAGGGCCGGATACTCTGTCTAAATATGTTTTCGAAAAAAAAAACCCTACTGTCTGAATATAATGATGCAGTAGAAATTACAAAATCCGATAGGTGGTCAACAAATACGGAGGGATACGTGCTAATCTAATGGATTTTCTTTTATATATTGCAACTTAGGTCATGTTCTTCATTTTCCATTAGCATATTTTTCAAAGACCTCCAGCGCTCGCTCGCCAGAATCTTCGGCAACTTCAAACGAGATTGGTAACACATCCCTAAATGACTCGTATGTAATAGCGTGTTTTGAAGGCTCTCAAGTCTCAACTTCTGATAAGCATGGTGATATGGATTCTTTTCAAAACAAGTGCAAACATGCCACCACAAAGTGCATCAAGAAACAGATTTTGTGATAAAAAGCTTCAACTCGGATGGCACATTATCAGGATTTACCCCAGGAAAGTCAAGCCTTAAAGCTTTCAGAGTACCAGCTGAAATAACAGGCATTGTATCAAGTAGCTAGAGACATGAAATCGAAACGAGTTCTTACAGGTAAAACTAGTAGCAACATCTACTGCTGCTTGACCTCAGCCTTCCTCTTCTGCCACAGCCTATCCAGAGCACTGTCGGCGTCTCCCTGTCGAAATAAATCAAATGAGAACTTACTGAAGGAGGCAACATTGCAACAAAGTCTTTTTATGTGCATAGCATATGAGCAAGAAAAACAGCTAGGTCCTACTAGCTATCAGGATTGGCATAAGAAATAAGCTCATTGGACGCGCGCATATTAGAACAAGAGAAAGACAGAACAAACAAATGCTAGCTATCGGGGGTACGTTTGGACATCATGATAGTTAAAAAAAAGTCGATGTACTAGTATGATTTTTTACATTGCCATCATTTAGGTAAATTTGTCACAGTACCAAAAACTACACAAAACATGAAAAAAAAAAGGGTATGAACTGACTTGGTATCAAATGAAATAAACCAGATTAATCATATGAATATGTAAAATGCTCGGGCTAACAAAACGGAACGTCAATGCATTGCATAAAAACAATCCACAAAACACCCTATCAAACTTTCTGCTTGTGTATTTACAGCATTAAAGTTCAGTGACATGATCAGCTGCCAGCAACAACAAAGCGCGCGCATAATTCATGATCATGCAGGAAATAGAGCAATACAGCAATGAGACAGTTCACAAAGAGAAATTCAGGCACATGTAAATAAACAAAAGTTTACAATGATAATTACCTGAGCACGGATGAACCCAGAGAGAGCAAACGTGGTGAAGCGGCCATCGTACAGCCCATTCTCATCCACATGCCCAATGTTGATCTGGACCGAGGCATGGTCCTTGGCGGTGATGATCCTGTTGGTGGTCGAGCTGCAGGAAACCAACACAACACGCATGTAAAAGTACATCTAAACACCAGTTGAATTAGACACCAAAACATCAAGAATGACAGAAACATACCACTTCCTGGGGACGTAGAGGTCCACCATCTGACCCTCCTCGTTCTGCATGATGACGGTAGATGAAGAAAACACCACAACAGCAACTACAAGGCATGGATGAAACAGTCAGATTGCATAATACGAATATATGGAATAACGAAACAGACTCGCTAGCCCCTCTCTAGATAGAACTTGGCATGCAGTTTTAGTTCATTATAGATTCATAGTCCCAAATGTGTGAAATTGTTCGTTCGCAAAAGGAGAAAAAAAATGGTCAGCAGCGAGCCGGCAAGACCAGTGGCAGGTGCTCAGTGGAGAGGCCCTGATATGCCTCGGTGGCGAGTCATCATGGTAAGGAGGCGGAAAAGACTTCGCGCTGGAGGACCAACTACGGCGGTTATCTCCAGATCCCGAGCGGATAGTGCAAATGAGGGGTGGGATGCCGAGGCGATTCAGACGAACTGGAAAGGAGGAAGCTCAGGCGGTGGCTTTGCAGATCTAGGTAGAGGGGACCGGTCCACGAGCCGGTGCACCAGGTGGAGAAGTTGGAGGGATAGTAGGAGGCAGGGGCACAGGGCCTTGGCGGCAATGGGAGGATGATATCCGGCACAAGATCAGAGAAGCGTTGGTGCCTGCGTGGTCTCCGGATAGGAGCGAGGCAGGTACTGGTGATGCTACTGCTTCTTGGCATTCATGCATGTAGCTGCATGCCTGCATTATTATTTTTCGTTGAGCACAAGGATCAATAATGGCCATATAGAAAATGCATAGCAGACTATCATGTTTCTGAATTACAGCACCAAAGTTTTATGTGGATTCTGTGGGATGGAGTTTTAGATGGATGTTGTGGGATGTTTAGCAGAGGTTGTTTTTAATTCACTCAGCATGACAGCACCTGTTGTATCAGCTACTCCTACTCAGCTTCCAAACAAATGTGTGCTTTGTTGTAGGCTAGAAAGTAGAAACCTACAACTTTTGCCTCACATTATGATTTCACAATGGTTGGGAGCAATTTTAGCTAATGAAAGTGTTTTACTAGCAGAAAACAGTTTGTGCACAAATAGTGAAATGCAGCTTTTTTTAATTTGCGGATGTACATTTTAATTAGACTCATCGTGTACTGGTTAATCTATATTGAGATGACAACAATGTTGTGATGTGATTTAACTTTACTCATATATGAACAACGAGAATCATTAGTGAATACAATGGAAGTGTTTTGTTTAGGCATTGTTAACCACAGAATATCAATGTCTCATTAGGAATGGTTGGCTTGAGAACTTGGATGACTTCTTATATATATAAAAAATGCAAATTTAGTTTCAAGATAGTGGAGAACATCAACCATCTTTATCCCTTTTTTCCATTCATTGAGGAGTTCTTTTTTTTTCCTGAACTTAGTTTTACATCTTAGGGTAGCAAAAGTGATGGCCTATGTAGCTTATATTATTATTATATTATATTCAAAGAGGAATAGGGAGTCAGGATCCTGTCCTCTGTCGGCTGCTACACCTACACATCACAATGGCATTTTCTAGGGTGAAATTGTAGAAATTTGACTGCGGTGCCATTGGTACGCTTAATGGCCACTAATGCCCATCAAATTGTGATTAGCTCAGCCTTCCTTTACTGACTTTTGATGTTTTCACTATGTTCATATATGCCTTAGTTTGATATCTAGCTATATTTGTATAAACAATTTGTATGTCTGGCAGTGGTGCCATTTCTGCGATTAGTGATGAGCTGATTGAGAGAGGGTAGATTTTTGTTGTTCACTTCAGAGTTTGCTGCACAGTTCATCCATCACTTGGGTTACAGTTCAAGTCTATTAATCTGGGTACAATCAATACCCTGCCACCTGACTGTTTAGGTTTTTTACAATTCTATTGTGCAGATGTCTGTTGTATGCTATCAGGCTGACAATAGATGATTCATCCCAGAACAACCATGAACTCTTTGGTGGCTCCTCTATGTTTTCTTAGTCTTGCTAAGCATAGATGCTTGAGGAGCCATTGCTAATTTACAATATGTTACAGGATTCTGCTTCCTATGCAGAATGATTTTTCCTAAAGCTCCTTGCAGAGATAGTAGAAGGGATGTCATGATTCATCACATGCGCCAATGGGTCTTTTTGGTCTTTGTTGTAAGTAAATACAGTGGATTATGACACACTATTGCTAAGCATTAATATTGTACGTGGATGTGTGGTTCCTTTGGGTAAGATAATCAGAATAGCTGAATTCAGGTTTTGAGTTGAAAATTTTATTGAGCCATGCATCTGAAATGGTTGTATTATTTCAAATGCAATAGCTCATCAATCATACTGAAAGAATTAAAAAAAAGAGCATGCTGACTTTTAACCGTTGTTTGCCTTCGTGCACTTTATGAATGTCGTGCACCAAACTTTGATGTTCACTTTGAATTTACTTATGCTATTTATTCGTCATAACTTTGTGTAATGCTGCATACAGATAATAAGTTTGTTCTTTAAAACATCATTTTTTGTATACGGTTTACGCTCTTTAGAATTTAGATAGTATAGATGCGACTTTTCTTTGTGATTGCATTAATAATTAGTGACGTGGCATTTTATTCTCCGTAACCTTTTTTTTTCTTTTAGAAATGGCTTCTTCAAAACTTATATGTGTTTTGTTCATGATGACCAATTCAGATGCACGCCTTCAATACGCAGTCTCCACTAGAGCTCAATAACTCAAATTTAGATTGGTTCTTCATGCACGGTTTCAGTTGACTTGAATCTATCACTTTGGTTGAGTTATTTTGTACAGAGTTCAAAATGAGGCTTAATATTTGCTTAAATGCTATCTCCATCCCATTTTCTAGCTTATATGAGCTTTTTCTATATCGTGGCTATTTACCCATCGAGGGGGGCGCGCAACGCGCGCAGCAATGTCTGGTTTACTAATTCTTACTAATTCCATCTCCTAGACATGGAACTTGACAAAAGGGAAAAAAAAAACATGCTACTCGATTTGATAATGCTAACACAGACCGATTCCTCGCAAAATCGCAATCGAGGAAATCCCGCGCATGCGAATTCGTAGCACGAGGAGCAGATCAACAGAGGAGGCTTGAGGTGAAGAGGATGGGGGACGCACCTGATCTCCCGGAGAGAAGGGAAGAGAGACCGAAGAGAGCGGCGGCGGCGGCGGCGGCGGCGGCGTTTGGAGGGCGAGACCGCGAGAGGAGGCGAGATGACTCGGAGAAAAAAAAACCTTAGTTTCAGCAGCAGCCCTGGGCCCACTGTCAGCGTCTCCGCGTTCGGGGCGTCTACGTTCTTGGACCTACGAAGCCCACAAGGCCCAGGACGGCCCGTGCAAAAAGCCCACCCAATTGGCCCAGTAGGCCTACTCCGATAATCCTGATGGGCTCATGCGATGGTCCAAGTGCTCGACTTGGAGAGTTCGAGTAGACTTCACGCACGAAGATTGCTTACAAAAGCAGGAGATTTCTCCCGCTTTAGGTCTTGTTTAGTTAATCCCTATATGTCAGGCAGAGATTGTAGGGGATTCAGGGCCTATTTGGTTGATGCCCTCACCAACATGCCTAAAAAATTTAGGTGCCTGAGAGCTATCTGATAGGATGATAAATTTTGCCTGCTCTGGCAGCCTGAACACTTATCTGTTTGTTTGTTATTCCGCACATGTGAAAACGTTTATTAAGCTTTTAATTATTACGGTTGTTATAAAGTGTTAGCAAAAAAAATAAAATATTTGGATGGGCTGTATCCCTCCTTGAAAGCACAAATAAAATATATTTGTATGGTCGGCTGCTTCTACAATCTACAGTACCTATACTACATTATTATAAGCGGTAATTAGGATTAATGAGCGTAGCTGCGCCGCCCTGGAGCTTAGGCGACCGAAAACGGTCGCCTGACTCAGGCTAATGAGGCTCCAAAAGAGCTCAGGGCAGGGAAGGAGAAACTAAGGTCAGGGCACCAACCAAACAAGGTCCCGGCTGGTCTCAGGCTTACGTCTGGTCAGGCAAATATCCTTCAGGGCACCAACCAAACAGGCCCTCATTCCACACCTATTTATGGTGTGGAATTATTCCCCCTCAATCCCCTCCAATTTCAATTCTCTTTAATCCCTTCTAAACCGATTAAGGCCTTAGAGAGAATCTATCCGTTTGCAAGAATTGAGACCGGAGGACGGACGGACATGGCGGCTGCGCTGCCAGACGACATGCTCGCGGAGGTCCTCCGCCACCTCGGGCCGCGCAGCCTCGCCGCGTGCTGCCGCGTCTGCAAGCCATGGCGCGACCTCGTCGACGACCGCCGCCTGCTGCGTGCGGACCTCCTCCCACGCTCGCTCGCCGGCATCTTCCTCAACTTCTCGGGCCTATGCTACCCGGAATTCTTCGCTCGCCCCTCGACGACGGCAGGAGCCACTACCGCCATCTCCAGTCTCCTTGACTTCTTGCCCTTCGATGGTACTAAATGGTACAAGATCGAGGATCACTGCAACGGCCTACTGCTGCTTGACTGCAACTGCGTGGTTAACCCTGCCACGCGATGGTGGGCTCGCTTGCCCCCACGCCCTCCTCCGCGCGAGGACATGGAGAGATGGAGTACATCCATACTGCTTACCTCGTCTTCGATCCAGCCGCGTCTTCGCACTACGAGGTGTGTTCCTGATCCCATACTTTCATAGATAGAGATGCAAGCGGGGCAGGTAAGTGGGCTTTTTTTTCCCGCTTATCCCACTTCTAGTTTATTTTTTCTTCTAAATTTTATACTACCATACGATAAATAGACTAGCAAACGGGTTTTTATACGGGTAACGGGACTACCCACTTGCATCCCTATTCATAGGCGTATCCAAGTTGAACTGGAACCATCCGAATGGCCACCACCATTGTACGTCTTGCCCGTCTTCTCGTCGAGAACCGAGCGATGGGAGGAGAGGACATTTGTCCGTGAAGGGGAAGCTGCAGGAAATACGACTGTCCCTGATAAGAGGTTTGGTTTGTCATGACACCCAAAGACAAACGCTGTCTACTGGCAGGGAGCACTCTACGTGCATTGCCAAACTGATTTTATTATGAGGTATATCTATTCTACTCGCTCATTAAGCACCATCTTTTGGTTTTGATTTTCCATCTTTTTGTAGAACATTATATTTTGATCAATGGGTTGATCTTGTAGAATATCCTTGAGAAATGATAAGTACCAAGTGATCAAACTGCCAAAGGTTACTAGGATGCCCTCAGAAGACTCTTATTTTTGTCTTGGAAGATCACAAAAAGGAGTGTACCTTGCATTAGCCAGACATTGCTGCCATCTTCTAGTTTGGATTCTGGATGAATCATGTGACGGAATAAAGTGGGAGTTAAAGCATGATAAAGACATTAAACATATTCTACTTGGACGAAATAAAGTAGATCTGGGACCATGGATCTTACAGGAAATTAATTATCAAAAAGAAGAAGGTAGCTTATCATCATATGAATGGTTTCGAAAGAAGCTTGAATATGAGCTCAACGAGGAAGCCACATTGGAGAAGTCTGAATGGAACTCTGATGATGATAATGCTCCTTGCAATGAAGATATTATAGGAAGATACAATGAAGCTATTGATATCATTGGATTCCACCCTTTCAAAGAGATTATATTCTTCAGTGAATCGTTCGAGAGAGGGATAGCCTATCATTTAAATGGCTCAAAGGTTGAAGATCTAGGTGACTTATACCCAGTAGGTTACGATTTTGTACCATCCAATGAGCAAATGATATCTGCGTCTTATCCGTACACACCCTGCTGGATGTGAGGGTTTCAAGGATGATAGATAGTTTCAAACGACATCTATAGACGACAAATACCACTACTGCACTATGATTTGCTCATGTTTGTGGCATTGTCAATTCCTTTTCATTTTTGGTTTTTGGTTGTGAGTACCAAAATCTTTGATCAGTACTTAGTGTTCATCTATTCAGCTACTAGTTTGTTATTGCGTGAGCACACTACTAAAAAAATGATTTTTATCAATGTTGGCTTTTATTTTTCCAGGCGGACAAAAAAAAACCTTCTTATAACCGTTTGTGAAAATAGCAAAGAACCTTCAGATTTAGCCCTGTCTGCAAAAATCAATTTTTACAGATGAAGCCTTAAGAGATTCACATGTGAAAATACATTATTTTATAGACGGAACCTTAAGTGCTCCACCTGCAAAATACAAGAAGCCTATTAAATTTGGTTTAAGTCCCACTCCCTCACTCACCCTCCACCTCTCCATCCTTGTTCACTTCTTTCCCTTTCCCTCACTTCTTCCTCCCCTTCACTTCTCTCCCTCCCCTCTCTTCCTGCTGGACACAGCAGCGGCACCAACCACAACCGCGGCACCAACGACATTGGCTGGGCATGTGATTCCACATCGGTCCGTTGGTTGATCGACCATTTTGTTCTAACCATTGTATGTCTATGTTGTTAGTTGTATAATCAAACTAAGTGGCACGTCCTGAACCTAATTTGATAGTGCCTGCACCAGAACTAAGCAGATCTCCCATACATTCGTGTGTCGCAACATATTTTGCGTCAACACCAATGCACTCCTCTTCCTCGCCGCCTCCGCCTTCGCACCGGCTGTCCCAACGACAGCGCTGGTAACATGTTGTTCCTGTCATGTTTGGGAGAGGGGGAAGAGAAGAGGGAGAGGGAGAAGATGAAGAAGAGGGTGCCACTAACATATGGGTCCCACATGCCACATCAACCAAAAACCGGCTACTATACTGCCGAGGGATCAAAGTTAACATGGTATTGTGAGTTGGGAGATATGCTACACCTTGTATTTCGGTTTAGGAACAAATTTTAGACTCGACGATAAATCTCTACTATTATAAAATTGAAGATATTTTTGCCGGTACTTTGGTACATCATTCGTGTATGAGTCATTCTTTAAGTTTGTTCGCTTTTGGAAATATAGGTTCGTATTTGAGTCAGTTTTTAAGTTTGCTCGCTTTTGGAAATACATAAGGAGTTGTACAAGAAATCTCTTTTTTTTAAAAAAAAAACTTGCATGCTAACTTGCAGCTAATTGCAACTCATGATTTTTTAAAAAAAATAATATCAAATCGAAATCCGTTGCAACGCACGGGCATTTGATCCTACATATATCAAATATATATCCCGCAATGAATTTCATCATAACTAAACCATATAACAATAATAAGATTAAAATAACATTTACCCGTTGCAACGCAATGGCATTTTTTTCTAGTTGAACCTAAAGGGAAGTTACTCCAAATTGTTAGGGGCTTAGGGCTGTCAACCGCGCGAGTTCGTCCAGGAATTAGAGCCCACTATAAGCCCATGGTCCAGCATTTTCCCCGCAAATTAGCACATTACCACAGGAGAGAATCCCTGATGGGCTGACGAGATTGTGGCATGCGGTGACAGTGTTCGACTCGGAGTCGATTTCCAATCCCAACACCGACTCTCCTCCACCCCCTCGTGCGAACCGCTTTCCTCCCCCCCCTCTCCACCTCGCCGCCGATCGATAAAATCCAATCCACTTCCATCGATCCGTGCACCACGAATCCGTCTCCCCCCCGACTCGCGATCGATCCCCGTTGCTCGCCGCGCGACGCCGCCGCTAGATCGATCCCCCAGGCGATCGAGGGATCGTAGAACGAAGATCGAGGGGAGGTGAGAGGGATCGAGGATTCGAGGGCATGGTGGTGGCGGCGCTGCCGGACGACGTGCTCGCGGAGGTCCTCCGCCGCCTCGCGCCGCGCAGCCTCGCCGCGTGCCGCTGCGTCTGCAAGCCGTGGCGCGACCTCGTCGACGACCGCCGCCTGCTGCGCGCGGACCTCCTTCCGCGCTCGCTCGCCGGCATCTTCGTCAACTTCCACTGCCTGTACAGCTCGGAGTTCTTCGCCCGCCCCCCGGCCGCCGCCGCCGCCATCTCCGGCAACTTCGACTTCCTGCCCCCCAAAGACGAGTACGACCAGTACAGGCACCACCAGGTCGAGGGCCACTGCAACGGGCTCCTCTTGATCAGGTTCCGCGATCTCGTGGTCAACCCCGCCACGCGATGGTGGGATCGCTTGCCCCCGCGCCCGCTGCCGCGCGACGAGATGGACCGCATCGACGCCGCCTACCTCGTCTTCGATCCCGCAGTGTCCCCGCGGCACTACGAGGTGTTCTTGACCCCATCGTTCCGCTGGAAAAGCGAATCGGAGAAAGCCGAATTGGACCCCATGGTGGAGGCATCGGAATGGCCACCGGAATCATACACACTGCCCGTCTTCTCGTCGAGGACAGGGCTGTGGCAAGAGAGGAGTTTCATCCGTCAGGGACAAGCCGCAGGCACCATCGCCGACATGCGATCGGATTGGGCATCGGACCAAAGGAATGGTGTCTATTGGCGAGGAGCATTGTACGTTCATTGTCAGACTAATTTTGTTATCAGGTATATATTCTAGTCACTCTTTCAAGTTTATATTGTCGTTTGATTTTGATTTTTCATAATACTACAAGATTATATTTGTTTGATGGATGGTGTGATTTTTTACAGAATATCGTTGAATGATGACAAGTACCAAGTAATTAAACCACCAGAGTACTCCGGCCGCTACCTCAACTTTTATCTTGGGAGGTCAGAGAAGGGTGTATACCTTGCATTATCCAGAGACAACTGTCTTAAAGTTTGGATTCTTGATGAAACATGTAGCAAAATGAAGTGGGAGCTCAAGCATGACAAGCACATCAGACATATTCTGCTTGGGCGCAATAATCGACAAGGTCTCGGCCCATGGATTTTACAGGATATCAACCACCAAAAGAATCCTTATATATATGAATATGATGAAATCATTGAAGCACCCAACCAGAAGAAGGTTGAATGTGAACAAGCAGCATTGGAGAAGTTTGAATGGATCTCAGACGATGAAAATGTTCTTGACAATGAAGATATAGTTACAGGAGGATATCATGAATACATTAATATCATTGGGTTTCATCCATACAAAGAGATAATATTTTTAGACGAATCGTTAAAGAGAGGGCTAGCCTATCATTTAAGCAGCTCAAAGGTTGAAGATATAGGTAACTTATATCCAACCAACCTTGAATATGAATTAATTAATGAGCAGTTTATAACCGCTTCTTTTCCATATACACCCTGCTTCATGTGAGGGTTTCTAGAGAAGCTTAAACATCGAAATAAATGACTGTACTCATGTATTCAAATATGTACCTATGAGGATTTGCTCCTCTTTATTAAGAGATATTTTTCAGTTCCTATTCAAATTTTGCTTTTGCTTTCGGTGTGTGCTAGTTGTATTCTAAATCTTTGAAAGGGTGCTCTAGTATCCATCCTATTAGCTACGTTGCTATACATGCATATGGTAATTTCTACTCGTACCTCTGCTTGAATCTCTCTACTATTGATACATGGCATTACCAACTCTTGTCATATTGTGTATCTTTGATTAACATTGGCATGGATAAGGATAACTCAGTCTTACCTTGCTACTATTGCAGAAACACTGCAGCGTAGAGAGCATGTCTGAATGAGTGAAGGGGAAAAAAAAGACGGTACAAGGAAATAAGGGCTCCTTTGAAATTCATTAATTTTATAATATTTGTACGTAAATTTGTTCGTTTTTTAGAAACTTCTTTGAAAATCCTTCAATCCAGAGAGGTCCGAGTCTCTTCTGAATTCTGAAGGAAAGAAGCATCATGCTGCTCTTTTTTGTTAAGGACTACAAAAATTCCCATGCATTACAGTAGGTGAAGGCTAAATGTATATTTGTTGCCAAAACTTGTTCCTGGTATAATGATATTAGCTCTTAAACTGCAATTAGCCAATTACAAGGGACAAGTGCTGTAGAAATATGGAGCTAATATTAATCCTCACGCACTCAGCAATAACTGAAGCTGCAATTGTTAGAGCACCGATCTGAAAACGGCAGAAGTAATAGAACATCATGTGGGTGAAAACTGAAAAATATGAAAGTTTAGCGATCATTGTCGACCAACTTTCATATCTCATGGGCTTTAGGGAGTTCACTACTTTCAACCAAGCAATGTTAGGAAGACAGTGCTGGAGGCTGCTTACTGATCCTGATTCCTTGTGCTCGAGGGTTTTGAAGGGAAGATATTTCCCTAACTCGTCTTTCTGGGAGGCTGCTCAACCGAAATCGTTGTCTTTCACTTGGCGAAGCTTGCTGTTTGGGTGAGAACTGCTGGCAAAGGGAGTGAGGTGGGGAGTCGGCGATGGGAAAACCATCAAAATCTTTTCAGATAATTGGATACCTGGGTTTCGACCTCAGTTGGTGACAACGCTTTCTCCCTTCCCAACAGATGCCACTGTTAGCTGCCTGATGAACGAGGATGCCAGATGTTGGGATGGAGATTTGATAAGATCCCTCTTCCCTGTGGACATTGCAAAGGAGATTCTACAGATTCCTATTAGTAGACATGGTGATGCTGACTTCGCTTCTTGGCCACATGAAAAACTGGGTTTATACTCTGTGCGTTCGGCTTACAATATGGTGCGATCAGAAGCTTTCTTTGCAGATCAGAGCAATAGTGGGAGAGGAATGGCGTCGAGACTGCTGGAGAGCCAAAAGGATTGGAAGGGCTTGTGGAAAATCAATGCGCCGGGAAAGATGAAAATTATTCTCTGGCGTGCTGCTCATGAATGCTTGGCGACTGGGTTTCAACTTCCACGGCGGCATATCCCCTCTACTGATGGCTGTGTTTTTTGCAACAGAGATGACACAGTGGAACATGTCTTCCTGTTCTGCCCCTTTGCTGCTCAAATCTGGGAGGAAATCAAAAGAAAGTGTGCTGTCAAACTAGGAAGAAATGGGTTCTCAACCATGAGGCATTGGATCTTTGATTTCCTGAAACGGGGATCCAGCCATACAAACACCCTTTTGGCTGTCACCTTTTGGCACATCTGGGAAGCAAGGAACAATACAAAGAACAACAATGGCACAGTGCACCCCCAACGTGTTGTCATCAAAATTTTGTCTTATGTCGACATGATTCTAAAGCACAATACGAAGACGGTGGATGGCCAGCGGGGTGAAAACACTCAAGCCATACCTAGATGGCAGCCACTGCCGGCCGGTGTATGGATGATCAATTCTGATGCTGCGATTTTCAGCTCGTCCAGGACTATGGGGGTCGGGGCTTTGATTCGTGATAATACAGGGAAATGCCTGGTTGCTTGCTCGGAGATGATCAGCGATGTGGTGCTACCTGAGCTTGCAGAAGCGCTGGCGATTAGGCGGGCACTGGGTCTAGCAAAGGAAGAGGGCCTGCAACACATTGTCATGGCATCTGATTGTCTTACTGTAATCAGACGCATCCAAACTTCAGGAAGGGATCGCTCAGGAGTGGGATGCGTGATTGAAGATATCAAGAAGTTGGCGTCCACCTTTGTTTTATGCTCTTTTATGCATGTTAACCGGTTGTCCAATTTGGCGGCTCATTCTCTAGCTCGGAATGCCGAGCTGTCTACCTGTACTGTGTACCGTTCTGTAATACCGGATTATATCCGGGACATACTTTGTGATGATGTTGCTTAATCAATGAATGGCATGCCGCCCTTGTCTCAAAAAAAAAAAACTTTCATATCTCTATGAACCAATTATGTGGGCGTACCATAGTACCAATGAATCCCATTAATTACACTTAGTTTTAACATTCATCTTCTTCCTTAAACCAATATGTCTCCCAGTACTCACTCAGACTCGCCAGTCTTTCCTTGCAAAAATTACATTGGTATAATATCCTGACAGCAACACAAGTCAATAAGCCACATATAAGAAAATCAGTTTATATATACTCTAAAGAAGGTAGTGGTTGAGACGACGAATCTGCCACCCACCTCCTCCAAACTGTATTGTCAAGAAATAATACACAAATTTCTTTAATATCGAACAATTGACCTTTCAAATGTTGTTCTCTTCTTATTTAGCCTTCTGAACCACAAACCACAGGTTGAGACGAAACATTAAAAAGAAAAAAGAAGGGTATTTTTCAGACTATAGCTAAAATAAACCTTACTAATTTTTGTCAATGCCAAAATTTTGACAATTTGGCAATATTGCCAAGTTTTTTAAGATTTATTATTTATTTTTTAGAGTTTGGTAATAACTAAATGGATGCACATATTTGGTAACTTTGCCAGAAAAAAATGGTATGATTTGAAATGACATCAATCTAAACAAGCCCAAAGAACAAATCGTGGTGTATATTTGTCAATGAATGACTTAATTCTAGAATTTAGCATGCGTGAACACTGCCAAATGCTCCTTGTAACAAAAAGAAAAGTAATGTACAACACAGGGGCATTTAGCTAGTGTAATGCAAATATACTGGTAGCATCTGTGAATTGGTCGGGTGCTTCTGATCTACGCACTGCCTGTCTGATACCGTAAGAGCCAACATAAAATTACTTCCTCTGTTTCACAGTGTAAGACTTTCTAGCATTACCTACATTTATTTAGATGTTAATGAATCTAGACATATATATGTGCTTAGATTCATTAACATCTATATATATATGTGCACAATGCTAAAAAGTCTTATATTATGAAACGGAGGGAGTAGTCATTTATTTACTACTCTATCAAAAAACGAATTCCTAGCTACGAATTTTAGGATGGAGGGTGTACGCAATAATACTGATTACTGGACCAACTCCACATATCAGTCAAACTCCGTAGCATCTGACACTAATATAGTCAACACGTCGATCTTCATATCAAATGAACGATATGAAAGAGAAATGTATGCTCCAAGGAAAACCACTCGCACATATTCAGTAGTCATTCTAAGAGCACCTGTATCGTTCCCCGACAATTTTTTCCTTTGAAGTAAATCACATAAGAGTATTGATAACCAAATAAATTTAAAGGAAAATACTGAGTGTAGATTATATATAGTAGTTATTCATAATACATGTTGGGTCCATCCTAAAGAAGAACACGTGTACCATTCCCGACAATTTTTCCTTTGAAGTAAATAGGATGGAGGAAAATGTTGAATAACTCACTCTGAACTGTTCGGAGTATTCGTTTGTTCAACTGGAGAAACTGTTTTGTGTTTTGATTTGCGACGGAGGGAAAAAAAAAAGTCGGGGAATGGACAGAGCACAGGGTCGACGCCCTCGTCAGCTGATGTTTGCAGCCCAGATCCTCGATAGGGTTCCTCTTGAGACCCTGCCCACGCCATCACAAAGGAATCCCCAACCAAAATGAGCAACCTGCGGAGCTGCACGATTTTGCTGCCCAAGAACCGCACCAAAACCCAAAAATCATCGCTGGAGAGAAAAGAGAAGGCAGAACAGTGGGCACAAAACAAGAACCCCTAGTGGCCGGTGGGCCAGATTGGAGGTGGGGCCCCCAAGTGATCGGTGGACTGGCCTTAGAGCATGTTCAATATTATCGCCGGCTGCCGCTCCATCCATGTCCACATCAACTACTCCCTCCATGACCGGACGAGACATTTCATAGGACAACGAATCTGCCATAAAAAAGATAGGACGAGATATTTCATATGCAGATTCGTTGTTATATGAAATGTCTCGTCCGGTCCTAGATAGCTATATTATGGGATAGAGGGAGTAGGGTAAGCTAACAATTAATATGAAGAGCAAATTATCTTCTAGTACATCACAACCCCTGAGATATATTTCTTTTCTTCTGTGGGACCCAACTGACTAGCATCTTTTGTAGAATTCATCTCACTTCATGTGGACCCATGGCCATTTTTAAAAGTTAAAAATTCCTACCTTGTAGGCTTTTTCACCTTGGAGCTCACATAAAGCTGGCGATAAAATAGTCGCCCGTTCCTACTATCTTTCTTCTTATATGTCCTCTAGCTCATTAGTTTTGCTGAAATGGTCGTACTATCGCCGGTTATTGTACCCGCTCTTAGGGCATAAGCAATTGAGGCCAGACCACAAAATACCATATATGCCAAGGTAACATATCAACTGCACTCCTCACAATGGAAACTGTACTAAGAATTCTTTATATGCCAAGGTAACATATGGTCCACAATCATCGCAATGGAAACTACACTAAGGCTGTGTTAGTTCAGGCGAGTTGGGAACACATTCCCTCCGCACGAAAAACGGAGCGATGCATTTTCTTATGATTAATTAAGTATTTGTTTTTTTTGAAAAATAGATTAATATTATTTTTCAAGCAACTTTCGTATATAAACTTTTTGCAAAAAAAAACATCGTTTAGCTGTTTGAAAAGCGTGCGCGTAGAAAACGAGTGAGTTGAGTTGGGAAAGTTGGGGAAAGAACTCAACCTAAGAATTCTTTATATGCCATGGTAACATATAAACCACCCTCCTCACAATAAAAACTACGCTATGAATTTCTTTTAATTCAGCCTTTAAAAATTTTGTGTGTCAATCCTTATAATATTATTTTAATTACTGAGTTAACTGGAACTTTTATATTCACTTTTATATTTTATAGGTTATACCCTTTGACAATAAAAATAAATATGTGTACCCTTAACTTGCGTAAGCCCACTGTTGGTCACTCCCTACTCTTTCTTCTTCCCACCCCACTCTTATCCCTCCTCCCAATCCCCACTTCCCAACCGAGTCATCAATGTGTTCGATGCTATCGCTCTGCCTCCTCCAGCACCACCTCTTCTTTCCATCTCTCCTCTCTCTGTGTCTTCAGTGCCACCTCCCTCTCCCTCTGGTATCACCACTCTCCTCTTTGTCTTCTGGTATCTGCTCTATGCTCGATGGCGAGTTTGACACAGATCTAGCGACGACGACCTCCCACACTCCTCTTCCCACAACCGCATCTCCCATGTCCCCCACATGGTGAGCTTGGCACAGTTCTAGTGGTGGTAGCGCACCCACTCTTCTCTACCCCCTCCAGTGTTATAAATCGAGGCCGCTGCTTCGAATCCCCTTATTCCACCAGACTGAATGGGTGTCGACTGTCGAGCAGTGTTAGAAGAGTCCATGAGGCCACGATGGCGGTCAAGATGACCCCCACCTCCTCCACCACCAATCTCTAGGGCCGGCGAACGGTCCAGCCGGCATGGCTCCGCGGTCCGAGCGAAGAAGGGCATCGGAGAGGGGATGAGCTCGCCAGTGTTCGTGGTGGTAGGCTTCTGTCTCCTCCGTATGTTCATTCTCTTCCCTAATCCTGTTTACCATGTTGCCGCTTTCTCTCAGATTGGCAACAATCGCTCCGAGAATACTAAGGAGAAATATAATCACAAGGTAGAACCAAGTTACCAACCGACCTTAAAATAAGAAATATAATCACAAAGTAGAACTACAATCTACAAAACACAATGGAAGGTATATGGTATTTGTATATTAAAAGAAAAATAAATATTTTTAACAGCAAGAAATAACACATAAATATGAGTTATTTGTTGAAATTTATTAAAATAAATATTCTTTTGGAATATTTTACAAGGATTACAATAATTTTTATAAAATTCATTATGCAGCAGCTTCTTCTCCTCTGTTTGGAGGCACATGTCAGATTTTTTGGTTTATAGTTGTGCGTACCATATATATTATATATATGTCCCTTTGTTTCATATTATGAGTCGCTCTGACTTTTTATAGTCAAACTTTAAAAAGTTTGATCAAATTTATAGTAAAACATAGCGACATTTTCAACATAAAATAAGCATATTATTGAAATATATTAAAAGTTATTTTAATGAAACCAAATTGTTGTAACTGTTGTTGCTATATGTTTCTAATAATTTGCTCATTTAAAGAAGTTTGATTAAGAAAGAGGTTAAAGCGATTTATAATATCAAACGGAGGGAATATAATCATTGACCGATACTAAGCGTAATAGTGTTCTTCTTTCGACTACTAGTTCGTTACATAAACACCTGCATCAAGTCTGGTAGTTCTCTTATCCCATTTGTAAAGCAAATATACGTAGTACTTTTGTTATGTTAAGGAAACACACTGCAGATGCCTCTACGAATTTCTTGAGGATGGATGAAGCACAGATGCTGCTAATTTGCGGAGGATTACTAGACGATGACAAGAAGCTTTCCTATCGCTTTTGTAATGCAATCTATTTAGGTTTGTAAACCGCGAGTTTGTCCAGGAATTTCGAGCCCACGATGGCCCATGAATTGCCCAGCGTTAGGCCGGCAACCAGCCCATTATCGTGGTAGAGTATTCGTTCGTTCGTTCGACTTGGAGTCGACTTCCAAGTTGGCGCGAACCGCTTCCCTCTTCGCCTCTCCACCTCGCCGCCATTTAAATTTATCCATCGCTTGGCTAGATCTCCCCATCGATCCGTGCACCACGCAACGTACCGTCTCCTCGATCGATCGCCTTGCTTTCACCTCCGCCTCAACGGGATCGATTATGGTGGCGGCGCTGCCGGACGACGTGCTCGCGGAGGTCCTCCGCCGCCTCGCGCCGCGCTGCCTCGCCGCGTGCCGCTGCGTCTGCAAGCCATGGCGCGACCTCGTCGACGACCGCCGCCTGCTGCTGCTGCTGCGCGCCGAGGAGCTCCTCCCGCGCCCGCTCGCCGGCATCTTCCTCAACTTCTTTGGCCTCTTCAACTCGGAGTTCTTCGCCCGCCGTCCCTCGACGGG